TATACAGTCAGTTGTGGTAAAATCGTTGGCGTCTGGCTTAAGCATTGCAAATGCATATCGTAGGGCCGGATCCGATCCCAGCTGCGGGCCTTGCGCCTTGCATTGTTTTTGACCGTGGTATTGAGAGCTGACCATCCAGAAGCAGTAACAATCTACTGGACGTAAAATTTGCCTTAAAAAAAACCACAACAGTCAAAAAATGCTAGGGTTGGTTCTGCAACATCCTCTTAAGGATATGTGACTGCCTTGTAGTAAAATCACACATGCTGAAAGTAACCATATAACAATAATACAAATTAGCTTTCGTCACATTTGTTCTATTCTGTCATTTTAAATGATTTAGTTGATTAAAATTTAACATATTTTCTTTTTGATTGTTATGTCGTACCTCAGAATTTGAACATAATCTGTTCCAATCTGTGATCGAACTCCAAATCAAGTTGCAAGACAGTTTTTTTTCCCATTGAAAATAATAAAAACTAAATTATTCTGTTCCATACCAGAGTCCAGCTGACTCAAATTTTAACATTTTATTTCCTAAAAACGGTGCATTGTAAATATGGGAACAAATGATGATCATATTTGAATAGAAACATACATTTAAAAAACAAATGTATAAATATTTACTTTACCTTAAAAAAATAATGACACAGTACATAGATGTAGGAGGAGAAAGGGGTATTAAAGGAGATGATTGTTTGGTAGGTAGGTGGGTCAACTCTAGGAATTCTTTCTGGTGTTGTATACCGTAGTCATTTACCACTTGTAAAGAGACAGGTCACTAGGTTCTGTTGAGAACCAGCATTTCAAAGTGCGACCATTTTTAATTCTCCTTAAATATTCGATGTTGTTATAATTGAATAAATGAACACACGTGTTAACTAAGGCTGTATCAGATGCCGCCTGTGAAAACCATGAGCTGATGAGCCGAGACGCAACACACTCAGCACAGGGTAGGAAAACAAGCTAAAGCTGGGAGTCTGTGTATTCTATATCTGGCATGTTCCAGCCTTGCTTAAGACAAGGCTGAATGGTACATGGGGAGATTTGGACTGCACAGTAGTCTTCCTCAAGGCTATTGGCCTCTTGATATGTTTTCTCACTGAAAGATCGATGAAGAAGATTAACATTTTAGCAGTGGCTTTTAATTGCCGTAGTTAATCCACACTAGTAATGTAGCTTACGCTGTCTTGGAGTTGTAGAAAGTTGCAACAGTATTATATTTTCTTTCAACCATCTGCCTGGTTGTTACATGTATGGTAAGGGACTTTGCCTCATGAATGGGGATCTGGGAATATAGTTGATGTGTAATTGGATATAACAGACTCCGCAACCTTATGTTTAAGAAATTCAAGAATGGGAATTCAGAACTTTGTCCGTGTTGATGGGCACAGCTTAATACTAAACATTTGCTACAGAAATGCTCTCTACATGCAGTAGAGAGATTTCAGATTTGGCTGTTTGGCATTCCAATGGAAAGCAAGCTGTACGGAACAGTGAAAGAAGTGTCGCACCATGACTTCATAGTGGTCTTTGAGCTTCTTATCTAAAACCACTGACAGGGAGAATAAAAAGAAGAAGAAGATGCGTTAATGTAGTCAAAACAGCTTCCACTGTAGCCGAATAGGTTAGAATGTATGTTATGCATCATATATCCATGATTCAGTCAGATTGGTCTGAGTCTAGGGCAGACATTGTGTTTGGCTACATTACAGACATTTAAAGATGCCTAAAGATAGAATAGGCATAACAAAAGATACATTTGATAAAGAATTTCACATGAAATTATTTTGAGCAGTAAGGAAAGAAGGAATTTTAGCATACTTGTACAGTATATCACAAGTATGTTTTACTGAAAAGTCTCAGCAGTACAATTCAGGCTCCACCTGTTTTCGTCTATCATACACACCCTAAAAGGTTGTACTTAAGGCAGTAACAACAGTCAGCAGTACAATTCAAGCTCCATCCGTTTTCTCCTATCATACACACCCTAAAAGGTTGTACTTGAGGCAGTAACAACAGTCAGCAGTACAATTCAGGCTCCACCTGTTTTCCCCTATCATACACACTCTAAAAGTTTGTACTTAAGGCAGTAACAACAGTCATCAAGCACCAAACATGGAGATTAACAATTGAAAAAATGTAAGTTATGACAGTTGCAATAACAGAAGAACCAATTGAGATATGCATAGAAAACCAACTCAAGCAACCAAAAGATTTCAAGTATCTATGAAGCATAATATCATTCAGTAGAAGAATAGAAGTGGAGATGCTGACAGATGTAATAAAGCAGATCAAATCGTTGACAGATTTCACCACTTTTGAAGAACAAACATGTAACAGTTGACACCAAAAAAGCACTGGTTTTCTGTTCCGAAGTTTCCTTCTCATTTTAGTCCTATGGTTATTTGTGCACAGAAATGTACCAAGACTGGTGAAGATTTGGCACATTTTCTAATTTCTAATTATTTATCTTGTATTTCTATCCAGTGGTATTTAGTGTTTGGTGTTAAGAATCCATTTTAACTCTACTATCCCAAGAAAGCTGGTTTTCCAAATTTTGCCTCGTTTTGATGACATGATGTCTTGAGTCAGCAGCCATTATGCCTATATAACTTTGGCACTCGCTGCAACTGCATAATGTATAGGTGGCGTGGGTACAAGTATGTTTACAACATGTTTTTTTTTTTTTAAAGATGCTTCGGGTGAAAAACTATTTTGAGTGAAAAACAACTTCGGAGGGAGAAAATTTAAATTTTTTTTATCAGAAGGAAGGAAAACAGTTATGTCTAGCTCCTTTGTAGTTAGTGATGGTTTTAACCAGCTGTTTTTTTTTTTTTGTGTTTTTTTTTTTTAAGCTGGCCAAGACTCCAGATTTCTTGTGCACCTTCTTCTTTTCTTTTAGTTTCTGGGGGTATCTGTTCAGAGAATTACAAGATGTATTTCCTTTTAATGAAATTTTGAAATGCTAATTTTTAAAGATTTTAACGGGGTGCAAGGTGTAGAATGTTACTGTCACTGATTTTACTAGCTTTAAAAAAAATGTAAATAGAAGCCTGAAGAATTGGATTTAAAACATACAAGTTTTACTGCTGATTGTTTGACATAGTTTTTGTTTTGAAATATATATTAGCAATAATGTTGTTTTTTTTTTTAAATTTTTTATTTCAAATTGTTCATTGTTTGCATGTTATATCTAATGATACATGTTTGACTGTTAGTTTTCATTTGTAATAATTTAGTATATTGAAGATCCAGCAGATTTAAAGAATTGTCTACTGAAGAAAATATTTTTATACTGTAGCTCTCTTTGTCTCTCTCGCCCTCCTTCTCTTCCCTCGGTCCCCTTTTCTCTCACACATAAATACACACACATTTTTTCTGTTTTTGGAATTGTTTAATCACTTCTGTATTGTATAGCATTGTCAGTTAACAGTATGTATTTTCCCTATGGGTTTTATGGGGCCCTTTGTGGCTTGGGGGAGGGGGGATAGACCCACTGCCTATGTAACATGCATGTTATTAAAGCCAACTGCATAGTGATGTGTCCTTCCAAGTTTGAATGCATCTGTCTAGGAGATGAGGAACTGACAGTCTGAATTCAGATAAGCTAAATCTGTAAAACGGATGTGAATGCAAAACTCAAGTTTTGAAACAAAATAAAGGTCTAGAAATTAATAAACAACCAGAACTTTTCACTGGAATTGACAGCCGGGAAACATGATGAAGAAGAAGAAGCTTAGTAATTTTGCTGAATGTTAGAATGTTTACTCTGCATAAAAGTGATATTCAACAAAGACATTTTCTGTTGCCAGTTATAATTAGTATTGGAACATAAGTAATGAAAACAAGCTTCAGGCTTTGAAATTGTGGCTGAAGAAACACTCAGTGCTAACATTAAATACATAAAGCTGATATTGACAGTCACAAACCCAGAAACTCTGTAGACAGTGTGATATCTAAGAGAAGATGGAAATGGCTTGGCCATGTTATGAGAATGAATCCTGATATACCTGCCAAAACAGCTCTCACATGGATACCAAAGGGAAAGGGGAAAAAGGGACGCCCAAAAAACAACATGGAGATGAACGATGGAAAGTGACCTGAGTGCGGCATCTCTGACATGGAAAACTGTACTGAAGATTGCACAGGACAGGAAAGCATGGAAAGTCCTCTCTGAAGCCTCATGTGCGACTAGGCATTAAGAGAATTGATGATGATGACATTGAAAGCATAAGAAAGAGTCACAGACAGAAAAAGCATGGATCTTTTTGTTTTCATGAGTCCATGTTCTGTTTAAGTGTGGTGCACTACAAACTAGTGCTGCTGTTATATTTTCAGATTCCCACTGCTGAAACAAGCAAGGAGGCACACAGATCGTCTTCAGTCACTCCATATGTCAAGATCAGTTTTACTAATGTATACAAGCTGTGCAAAACTACAAGCTGTGCAATACTACACTGCTGTGTGGTGAATTGATACATGACAAGGCATATGTGGTCAGAGCCCTTTGGGGACAAGTAACAAAGTCAGAAGAGGAACTCAATTATTATGGGCTGGAGTTAATGATGCACCTGGGTGTGACCATAGCGTTCGGCCGGCATACTGCGCTCAGAGGAAAGGCAAGACGGACATACAGCTAGACTATGACCCGCACCATTATTATTGGAACTCTGCGCTCGCTGCTGGAGATGGGGACGGAGCGCATATGGTAAAGCCCCGAGTGTTTCAATTCTTGGCTCAACTCAACTGTGCAAAACTATTGTGACAGTGTAGTGACATTGTCTGTGCACTTTCTTAACTACAGTGTGAATACACAAAGGAAAAGACTAGCTGTATGTTTTTTTTTGTGTGTACAGATCTACTCTACAGTTATATGTTACTTTACATTTTTGAGACAAAAATGGAATTGTAATAATCTGTTTGCACTAAGTATTAACGTGTGTGAAAGTTAAATTCTGGAGTTTATATTCTGGATAAAGTGCTGAAGCAGTTTGAAAATGGCAACAACTGTAACAAACAGAAACTATCTGTTTGAGACCTTTTCTGCATCGGGGACTGTTTATTTAACACTGGACAACCAGCTAGCCTATCGGCAGAGGTTTCATCACCATGTACAAGTCAACATTATTTATGATCATACAGGAACACCTGTCCCAGCAATTGAAAACACACCTAGCACTGGTCGTGTTTCAGATGCGTTCATGGATTACAGTTCAGAGGGTTGCGGCGGTTTTGTCACATCCACATATCATAAGCCCATATTACATGATGAGCACATTAAACTAGCTGCTAGCTCTGATTCTGTGAATAATACTATCCAGTTTAATTTTAGTGATCAGGGGCCAAGTGCTTCTACAGTTGTTGAGGCGTTTGACTGTGTCAAGGATAGTGTTTCAGAGCTGCTTCTTTGTCAGGATACACTTGTTGCAGAGGCACATAATACTGTCAGTGTCAGGACACAGAGTAATGACAGTGTCGGAGCACAGAACAGTGAAAGTGTCAGAGCACAGAACAGTGAAAGTGTCAGGGCACCGAAAAATGACAGTATCAGGGCTGATGCAGGCAATGTTGATGTGTCAGACGACACTGTTGATGTGTCAGAAACAGAAGTGGAGTGCCAACCTGAATGTGTCAGTGGTCAGAAATCTGTTACTGTTGATGATGATAACAGTGTCAGAGAAAGTCAGCTGGAAGATGGTAAGCTTACCTCAAAAAGATTATCCCGGTTGTCACTGAAAATTAGCAGACAACCAACCAGTTTAATCCAGAAAAACTTCAGAAATAAACCACATGAAGTCAAGATCAATGAAGGCGAGATCAGAGCCAAGAAAAGGAGAGTCAAAATTGAACACACAGATCAGGAACCTGCAAGAAGATCTTTGGCTAGATTGAGAAGAACATCAGAGAAACTGGTTAAAAAGACTGAAGAGAAATTATCTGCTAAGGTTAAAATAAAGAACAGAGACACAGTAAATAGACAAAGAGAATCAAAAATCAGAAAGTTGGAACTAGAGAAAGAAGTGAAGTGTGAATACTGTTTGCAGGTATTTAAAAGTCAACAAGAGTATTTTGATCATAGAAAGGGGGACAGAAAATCATTTGAGTGTAAAATATGTGGCAAAGTAATACCATTCAAGGCACATCTACTTGTTCACATGAAAAAGCACGATAACAGTTTGGAAGAAGCATTTCTTCCTCTTAAAGAAATTGGAAAAACAGAAGCTCAGAATTCAGAGATAAAACCTCGGGCTGACTCAGGTGATTACAGAGACAGCAAACATATAAAATGTGACATGTGTGGGCTGACAGTGTCAAATATTCCCATACTAAAGACGCACATGATGATCCACACGGGGGAGTTTGCTTATAAATGCTGTGTGTGTGGGGAGAAGACCCATTCCATTGCCAAACAGAGCAGCCACATGGCCACTCACCTCAAATCTGGCAAGGTGCAGTGTAAAATATGTAACATCCGGTTTGAGACACGGTCAGACCTGTCGCGGCACCAGCTGTCACATGAGTTTAAGTGCAGCATCTGTGGTAAAGTGTTCCCAAATAAGACGAGCAGGGTGTTCCATTACAAGATGGCCCACAAGGAGGAAATACTCAGGTGTGAGGTTTGTGGGAAATTGTTCTCATCAGAGGAAGAACTGGCACCTCATTTGAAGTATCATCGAAACAGGGCTAAAACACAGTGCACCATATGTGGTCTGTTTGTGACACGGTTGGATAACCACATACTGTCTCATAGTATGAGATCTGAGGATAGCAAGATGTACATTTGCGACCAGTGCCCCAAGCAGTTCAAGCAGAAACTGTCCTTCCAGAGACATCTTCGAACACATTCAGAAGAAAAACCGTACGCTTGTATGGAATGCCCAAAAAGATTTGCTCGCAGCGGAGGACTTCGCAGGCACATGATCACACACACTCAAGAGAAACCATTTGTCTGCAGTATTTGTGGGAAAGCATGCTCTCAAATGGGTAACCTCCGAATTCACATGCAGATCCACAAAGGTTGCTCCCTGGTCCAATGTAAATTGTGCGGCGAAAATTTTCCATACAAAAACAATCTGCAGGAGCATATGGAAACTACACATTTTGTTGATCCTGAGATGAGCTCACAAGATCCCTCAAGAAACACAGCAAATGCTGCTCAGATGTATTATGTATAGCCATGTGGTGTATTTGTCTTGCTCTCACTGTAAAGGCCATCCATCATTACCCTGGGGAAAGTGAGTGTGGAGTCTTAACTCTTTCAGTTGCAGTCTGTTCACTGTAATGTGTAATATGCTATAATTAATGTTCACTTATGTCAAAATAAGATGGTTCCAAAACTAGACTGGTGTCCTACACATAGTTGCTTCTTGCATTGCTTAATAAGACTCCAGTCAGAAGCATACCAGGATTTTGTGTTGAGGAAATTCAGGTGTGTGAGGTAGTGAGCAGCCTGACTTATTGGCTGCTGCCACTCCTCTGAGCAGTTAGCTATTTTATGATTAAGCAGAGGTGGTGAAGATTCCTGGGATTAAGTGTATAGTGCAACCATACAGACAATCCATACCATGAAAAAGAGAGGAGTGATTATTTTTGTGTGGCACATAAACAGATGTCTAATGGTGAAATTTGCCATCCTAAACAAGAAAAGCAAACAAAGATCTACAAAAAGTTGAATATGGGCAGTTTAAACAGCTCGCTAACAGATAATAATATCAGCAACACCAACTTCTTAAATACCAGATAACGGAATGGATTTATAGTCATGAGCACATTGTCTACTGGAGTACCTGTTCCTGAAGAAGAATGTTCTCTCTCTCTCTCTCTCTCTCTCTCTCTCTCTCATCTCTCTCTCTCTCTCTCTCTCTCTCTCTCTCTCTCTCTCATTCTCTCTCTCTCTCTCTCTCTCTCTCTCTCTCTCTCTCTCTCTCTCTCTCTCTCTCTCTCTCTCTCTCTCTCTCTCACATCTTATATTATATATATTATATTATATATACTTATATACTATTCAACTAAGTGTTTGAATGACCCACATTTTTGTCTGCAGGGAAGTTCCTAAATACAATTTTGTATTTGAACTGAAACCATTAAAATTTTTAAAAATAAATATGTAAAGTACAGAGTTTGTAATTCTGGTTGTGAATCTCATGGTTGTTAGCCAGTACTTTAAAAAAAAAAGGATGTCTGTTATTTATTTGCTTAACTCGTTCATCCCAAGAAGCATGAGACCAAGCATTGCAGTCTTTGACAGATCACTGTAGTTGCTAGAAACTGGGAATTTCTGCCGTGGCTTGACCTTGATTATACTGGTTAACATCATTAGTTGTGTTAGCACCTGCGCAGCATTCTGGAGGTCAGGATATGAATATGTTTACTAAAAATAGCATGTAGCAGGTTTTCCTTGTGAACCAAAAGGCTTTAAAATGTCTTTTTAGCCTGATAATTTTCTTGTTACATTTAGAATGAGTCACGCGATACATTTTCAAGGTCACTGAGATTATACTGTCATCTAATGCTTGGCGCCATTCATGTTTATTATTTCCCCTATACATTTCTGAAGAAACAAATTTCAGAAATGTGAATCATTTTTTCTTTAAAATGTATTAGTGACCTGTGTGAAATGTTTATTTTTTTAAAGGATATTTTTCAGAAATTTACGCAAGTTGCTAACCATTGTATTTTTAATGTTCAGGGGCGGGAGGAAAGGATAACATTCATAATTTTTCAGTCAAATTTTTTTGTCTTTTACAAATGTTTGATGACGTTGCAGTCATCCAGACTTAATTCTTGTAGTACTGTTAGTGCTGACTAGGATAATTAAAACAAACTTCACATTTCTGTCGACTAAATCCAGATTTCACTTTGATCCTTAGGAAAAAGTATAGTCCCCTAACAATACATTAGAGGAAATATAAATAACCAAGCCCCCTAACAATCAATGGGAAGAAATATAGATAACCAAGTCCTCTTAAAGTAAATGGGAAGAAATATAGATAACCAAGTCATCTAGCAATAAATGGGAAGAAATACAGATAACCAAGCCCCCTAACAATCAATGGGAAGAAATATAGATAACCAAGTCATCTAGCAATAAATGGGAAGAAATACAGATAACCAAGCCCCCTAACAATCAATGGGAAGAAATATAGATAACCAAGTCCTCTTAAAGTAAATGGGAAGAAATATAGATAACCAAGTCATCTAGCAATAAATGGGAAGAAATACAGATAACCAAGCCCCATAACAATAAATGGGAAGAAATACAGATAACCAGGTCCTCTTAAAGTAAATGGGAAGAAATATAGATAACCAAGTTCCCTAACAATAAATGGGAATACAGATAACCAAGTCCCCTAACAGTAAATGGGAAGAAATACAGATAACCAAATCCCTGAACAATAAATGGGAAGAAATACAGATAACCAAGTGCCTGAACAATAAATGGGAAGAAATACAGATAACCAAGTCCTCTTAAAATAAATGGGAAGAAATATAGATAACCAAGTCATCTAACAATAAATAGGAAGAAATATAGATAACCAAGCACTCTAACAATAAATTGGAAGAAATACAGATAACCAATTTCCCTAACAATAAATGGGAATACAGATAACCAAGTCCCCTAACAATAAATAGGAAGAAATGCAGATAACCAAGTCCCCAAACAATGAATGGGGAGAAATACAGATAACCAAGTCCCCGAACAATGAATGGGAAGAAATACAGATAACCAAGTCCCCTAAGAGTAAATGGGAAGAAATACAGATAACCAAGTCCCTGAACAATGAATAGGAAGAAATACAGACAACCAAGTCCCCGAACAATGAATGGGAAGAAATACAGATAACCAAGTCCCCTAAGAGTAAATGGGAAGAAATACAGATAACCAAGTCCCTGAACAATGAATCGGAAGAAATACAGACAACCAAGTCCCCTAACAGTAAATGGGAAGAAATACAGATAACCAAGTCCCCGAACAATAAATGGGAAGAAATACAGATAACCAATTCCCCTAAAAGTATAAACTTTACTGTCTTTTGTAATTTACTCGGCGATCCGTAATTTTGACTCGCACCGATGTTTCTCTTGGCCAAAAGTTTTGCCTTGATATGTTGTTCCCCTAACAGTAAATGGGAAGAAATACAGATAACCAAGTCCTCTAACAGTAAATAGGAAGAAATATTAGATAACCAAGTACTTTAACAGTAAATGAGCAGAAATACAGATAACCAAATCCCCTTACAATAAATGGTAAGAAATACAGATAACCTAGTCCTCTTAAAGTAAATGGGACGAAATATAGATAACCAAGTCATCTAACAATAAATGGGAAGAAATACAGATAACCAAGTCCCTAACAATAAATGGGAAGACATACAGATAACCAAGCCCTCTTAAAGTAAATGGGAATAAATATAGATAACCAAGTCATCTAACAATAAATGGAAAGAAATATGATAACCAAGTCCTCTAACAGTAAATGGGAATAAATATGATAACCAAGTCATCTAACAATAAATGGGAATAAATACAGGTAACCAAGTCCTCTAACAGTGAATGAGCAGAAATATGATAACCAAGTCCTCTAACAGTGAATTAGCAGAAATATGATAACCAAGTCCTCTAACAGTGAATGAGCAGAAATATGATAACCAAGTCCTCTAACAGTGAATGAGCAGAAATATGATAACCAAGTCCTCTAACAGTGAATGAGCAGAAATATGATAACCAAGTCCTCTAACAGTGAATGAGCAGAAATATGATAACCAAGTCCTCTAACAGTGAATGAGCAGAAATAAGATAACCAAGTCCTCTAACAGTGAATGAGCAGAAATATGATAACCAAGTCCTCTAACAATAAATGGGAATAAATATGATAACCAAGTCCTCTAACAGTGAATGAGCAGAAATATGATAACCAAGTCCTCTAACAATAAATGGGAATAAATATGATAACCAAGTCCTCTAACAGTAAATGGGAATAAATACAGATAACCAAGTCCTCTAACAGTGAATGAGCAGAAATATGATAACCAAGTCCTCTAACAGTGAATGAGCAGAAATATGATAACCAAGTCCTCTAACAGTGAATGAGCAGAAATATGATAACCAAGTCCTCTAACAGTGAATGAGCAGAAATATGATAACCAAGTCCTCTAACAGTGAATGAGCAGAAATATGATAACCAAGTCCTCTAACAGTGAATGGGAATAAATATAGATAACCAAGTCCTCTAACAGTAAATGGGAATAAATATGATAACCAAGTCCTCTAACAGTAAATGGGAATAAATATGATAACCAAGTCCTCTAACAGTAAATGGGAATAAATACAGATAACCAAGTCCTCTAACAGTGAATGAGCAGAAATATGATAACCAAGTCCTCTAACAGTGAATGAGCAGAAATATGATAACCAAGTCCTCTAACAGTGAATGAGCAGAAACATGATAACCAAGTCCTCTAACAGTGAATGAGCAGAAATATGATAACCAAGTCCTCTAACAGTGAATGAGCAGAAATATGATAACCAAGTCCTCTAACTGTGAATGGGAATAAATATAGATAACCAAGTCCTCTAACAGTAAATGGGAATAAATATGATAACCAAGTCCTCTAACAGTAAATGGGAATAAATATGATAACCAAGTCCTCTAACAGTAAATGGGAATAAATATGATAACCAAGTCCTCTAACAGTAAATGGGAATAAATACAGATAACCAAGTCCTCTAACAGTCTATGAGTGTTAACGAGTCCCTCTGGCAACCCAGTCTGATGTCTCCTATATAAGTTCCTCCTGTTGTATTTTCAGATCTGCTGGTGTTGGTTCAAGTCTGGATGGAAAATGTGTTTATCTTCCCTTACAGACTTCCATGTGCATTGTTGTAAACATTGTCTGGGGGAATCCCCAACTCACTGAGTGCAGAAGATAATGAAATGTTCCATATATGACAGTATGGCTTTTATAGACAGTCATTGTTGTGTCTAATTTTTGAGAGTGTCTGTTAGAGACATTCATTTCTGTGGCTGTTGGAGACAGTTCTGTTATCTCTCTGTTTGGGTGTGCTGCTTAGCAGGGTTGTTTTTACCACCTTATTATCTGTATTGAGCCTTATCAAGGAATATGGCTTCTAGAGAATATGAAGGCATTGTTTATGTCAAAGATAATGTCTGTGGTACAGTGTATTTAACAGCTGACAGTTATGGCCCCATTAACATTAACTTTTTTCATAACATCAGAGTTAAAGTTGTGATTGGTAGCATTAAACCTGAATGTCAGCTTCAGAATTTGTATCCGCCGCATGGGTTAAATAAACCATTGAACTCTGTGAATACCACTGTGACTACCAGCAAAGAAAGGGGTCTGTCTGAACACAACAATGATCTTGTTACGGAGGTTACCAGTAATTCTGAGGGAAACCGCCTGCAAGCATCAGAAGATGATGAGGGAGAAGAATATAATGAGTTACCAGTGGAGGATACAGATATGTCAGTATCGGTGTTCAGAGTTCCTCTTAAAAATCAAAGTTCACGTGAAATTGAGGGGAGTTTGTCTTGTAGTAAGAAGACCCCGGCATCAGAACTGCAGCATCCATGCAGTAATGATGTTGCGCAGGATGTGTCTGTTGGACAAAGAAGCACTGTCAGAATTTTAAGATATAAGAAAGGAAAAAGCTGTGAACCAAAAAACAAGAAAACACAGAAAAATACAAGAAAGAAGATGTGTGGTATTGAAGCAGAGGTTGACAAGTCAAACAAATTTATTTGTTCTGAAGATAACTCATATTCAAGACAGACAGTGAAGTTAGAAACAAAACAGTTGAAAGAGAAGCACAGCGCAAAATGGAAATTAGCTTGCTCAGTTACATGTCAGTATTGTCTGAAAGTCTTTGAGAATCAGCAGTCGTACTATGATCACAAGAAAACATTGAGATCGGGGACATATGAGTGTGATATGTGTACAAAGGTCTTTCCGTTCCAGGCACATTTACAAGCGCACACCAGAGCATATCACCAGGAAGAAAAACATGTTTCCAATCTCAAGGAGTCAGCATCCTGTGTATGTGACGTCTGTGGCTCGGAAGTGAAGAACATGTTTGCTTTGAAGAAACACCTCATGGTACATACACAGGAGTACTTTTACAAGTGCTGTATTTGTGGGAAACAGTTTGTGGAGCCCGGGACATTGAATAATCACATGACCTCACATAAGTCTGGGGGCATGATCAGGTGCAAGTGCTGCGACCAGCTCTTTGCCACCCGAGGTGCGTTAGCTAAACACAAACTGGCATCGATGGAAGTGAAATGTCACCTGTGTGGACAGGTTTTTCCCAACAGAACTAGCAGAACCCAACATTATAAAGTTTGTCACCTGGATGACATCCTCAAATGCTGCAAGTGCACCAGCATGTTCTCCTCAGCAGAAGAACTATCGGTTCACATGAAAAAACACAACACGTACAAGAAGAAACAGTGCCCAACTTGTGGCAAGTATTTTTCCAGGCTGGAGAAGCACATCATCGTACACAAAGCTAAGGCTGAAATTGATGACAGCGAGCTCTTTGTCTGTGATAAGTGCCCCAAGAAGTTCACCAACCGCTCCTCGTTCCAAAGACATTTAACTATCCATAGTCAGGATAAACCATATCAGTGTCCAAGTTGTCCCAAAAAGTTTGCTGACTGTGGGGTCCTTCGCAAGCATCTGCGCAGACACTTGTCCCTGATGCCTTATGAGTGTGAGGTGTGTGGCAAAAAATGCAAAGAGCCAGGAAACTTAAAAGTACACATGCGTGTCCATTCAGACATCAAGCAGTTTCAGTGTCCCTTATGTCCCCAGGCATTCAACTATAAAAGCTCTCTAGATGGGCACAAGCGCTCTCGGCATTGTCATAGTGTGGCCCAAGAAGACACACTTCCTCGGGCACCAGAAGTCAGGCAGGAGCCTGAGAATAGTGGAGAGCCCAACCTTCATAGGGTGTATAGAACTGCCCAGGTAGATTCTGGGGTGAGCCAACTGTGCCAGCATAGCTCATGGAAGGTAGACCACCAAGCATTTACAGGTGGTTGTAGCGTAGACATGAAACACTTGTATGAAACCCGAGCAAATGTTAGTGTGAAGCCTGGTTATGACGTCGACAGTGTAGACCTCATGGCCAGACACACCTATCATGTGTCTGCCATGCACCTGGATCCTGTCTGCATGGATTTGGCTACTAAACACACATGTGTGGAGGATTCCCCTGGTGTTCCTTCCAAACACACTTATATAGAGAATCTGAACATTACCAGTGGAAATATGGCTTCCATCTATGCAAGAGGAGCCAGCACTGGTATCGGTGCCAGCTCTCAGCCTCAGGAAGAGAGCTCACTGAATGTTACTACTTTAAATATGTCATCTATGAACATTAGTTTGTTCTGAAACTTTAGTCAAAGTTATGGTCAGATACATTATTTAGTACTGAAACTTTAGTCAAAGTCATCGTCAGATACATTATTTACTACTGAAACTTTAGTCAAAGTTATGGTCAGATACATTATTTAGTACTGAAACTTAAGTCAAATTTATGGTCAGATACATTATTTAGTACTGAAACTTTAGTCAAAGTTATGGTCAGATACATTATTTAGTACTGAAATTTTACTTAACAATTGAGTTCTCAGACTCATGAAGAATAATTTTACTTAAAGAGAGTTCACAGACTGATGAAGATAAATTTAACTTACAGTTGCGTTCTCAGACTCCTGAAGATAAATTTTACTTACAATAGAGTTCACAGACTCATGAAGATAAATTTTACTTACAAGAGAGTTCACAGACTCATGAAGATAAATTTTACTTACAAGAGAGTTTACAAACTCATGAAGATCAATTTTACTTACAGTAAAGTTCTCAGACTCGTAAAGATAAATTTTACTTGCAATTGAGTTCTCAGACTCTTGAAGATAAATTTTACTTGCAATCAAGTTTTCAGATTCGTGAAAGTGAATTTGACTTACAGTTGAGTTCTCAGACTCGTGAAGATAAATTTTACTTGCAGTTGAGTTGTCAGACTCGTGAAGATAAATTTTATACTTACTTACTTACTTACTTAGTCGCTCCTCTTCTACCTTGGGGTGTAGAGGTTTGCCAGAGAGATCGCCAGACGTCTCTTTCAGCAGTTTTGATACATTTTATTTGCAATTGAATTGTCAGACTGATGAAGATAAATTTAATTAACAGTTGAGTTCTCAGACTCGTGAAGATAAATTTTACTTACAGTTGAGTTCTCAGACTCTTGAAGATAAATTTTACTTGCAATTGAGTTCTCAGACTCGTGAAGATAAATTTTACTTACAATAGAGTTCACAGACTCATGATGATAAATTTTACTTACAATAGAGTTCTCAGACTAATGAAGAGAGCTCACTCATTGTGACATCAATAAATGTTACCATGTTAAATGTCATCCATGAATATTATTTTGTACTGAAACTATTCACATTTATAGATGAATATATTATGTACTGTGATTTTCCTTACAATTGTAGAAGTATATAGTAGTTTATAATGTTTGTTTACAACTGCTAGTCACTAATGTCTAGAAGAAAGGGATTGACTAGAAAATACAACAAATGGAGTAGGCAAAATACTTCTCAAAGACAGTAATGTCATATCACTGAATGATGCAGCATCACTTTAATAACCAGAAAGTGTCTGAGTGTGTGTGCGTGCAGGTGTGCACGCGCACACACTGTTGAAAAAAAAAAAACATAGTTATCCAGTGGCTTGTTATTACTAGTTGACTGGAAAGCCACTATGCCTAAAAAAATATCTATCAATGACCCAGATGAAACAGAACTGTCAATTGATTGGCTGAACCCAGTGATATTCTTGTGTGCATTTTGAACAGTTTTACTTATTAAGATTTTGAATTGCAAAATTAGAAGAAAATTAGGATACTTTCAGTAGCTATGCATTTTTTTTAAAGCGCCTCGGATAACCATGTATTTTTTTTTTTACAGTATGTTTGTGTGTGTGCATGCGAGCATGAGTGAGTGATAGAGAGAAAGAGAGAGTTATGTATATGCATAAATGTTTGTGTCTGTAATATACAAACAAAGGGGGGGGGGGGGGGGGGGGGGGGGGGTTTGAGGATACCTAAGTAACATTAAGAAACACCAAAAGAAAATATATTTGCCTAGGTCTCACAAAGTCAGTTTGTTAGTATGTTTTTCTTTAATTTTAAAACTAGTTATCATATTTTTGATTTTGACTACATAATATATTACTAAATATTACATTTGTTATTTTTTGGCACACAATATGCAATGAATAGGTTTGACTGCAATAAGGCTGTGAAGACATCAACATTTTGGAAGTAGAAATGGTTCAATTTATCAAATTATGATTACATATAAACCAAACAAAAAAAAAAGGTCATTATGGCAATGAGACTTCATCAGCAAACAACAAAAGGAAAGAGATGCCAAAAACAAAATATAGAACAATAATTGCACTACTGTAACTACATACAATTATAATACGAGGCAGCTATTTGAAGTAAAAGTAAGCAAACACTATAAACTCGGACTTGAACTCAGCGGATCCATAAATGTGACATTTCCTCTCTATTTAATGTCATGGGGTTTTTATTTATTTTTTTATTTTTTCCAGTGAAGGCTTGTTGCCACAGCATCCATTAATTTTTTTTTATTTTTTAGATTGTGATTTTTAAAATTTTATGTACACATTGTTTTATCAGTTTTCTGCTCAGTGTAGATTGTTACAAAAAAAGTATAATTACTTTAAAGTCATGGAGTTCTTAGAACATTACATTAAACATTGTATCAAGCTCTCATTATGGTCTTCCTGAAAGAAGCTCTTCTGCCTTATGGACTTTCATATTCAAGTAGTCACTAATATCCTGTGCCCATCTTCAAGTTGGTCGGCCCCTACCCCTCCTTCCTGGTACCATGCCTTCTGCTATAATTGTTTTTGGGCACTTGATATGACCAAAATATTTCAGCTTCCGAGACAAGATTTTATTTATTAGCCAATCTTCCGTGATGTTCAAATCTTTTAACATTCCAGTATTTCTTCTCTTCTTTATCCATGGTATTCTGTTAGAGAATGCAGTTAACAATTTCATGATCCTTAAGCACTAAAGTTTATTCCCGCAATAGACGGTTATATAACATTATTGTGGTTTTTGAACAATTGTAAGAGTCGCAGCATGGAAGAGATTGGGGCCTCACCACCTAACATTTCCAAAGATAGCAGCGATACACTGTAGCCGACCTTCATTGTGGAGATGGCACAGACAGTATTATTATTATAAAATGTTGCTGTATCTCGGCAGATGCATACTGCAGTAACAGTGGAATAAAATCAGTCTATACGTAATTCCTTTACGTGATATATTTGGAGAATAATCAGTTAAGAATGATGTGAATGTCATTGCATTGGAGTTTAAACTGTCTTTCCCGGGATTCACAGGCAGATTTATCTGTTGAATTCATTTTAATATATTTTTTTTTTAACTGGATGAAAGATCTCAGATAAAATTATAGGCAATGTGACCAACAGAATGTACACATTGGTTGACAAAAATGTACACACAGTCTAGCCACTTGGGGTCTATATAGTATAATTATACCTTGAATACACTTTTCATTGAATTATCTGCTGACTGAAACTTAATGAAAATGTAATTTCCATGTAAATAATGTGAAAACTGTTTTAAATTGAATATTGTTTCTTACATGCCTTTGCTTGATACACAATTCTGCCTGTCAAGAATATGAAATTATAATATTTGTCATGTAAACAATGATCTACTAAATCCACTGGGTTAAAGACATAGGAGCCTTCTTGACTCTTTCAATCCCAAAGCTTCTCACAGCAGTTGCTTCAGGAGAGAAATAACTGAAAAAATCATGAGTACACAACTTTCAAAGTGACATCTGCAAATGCCAGATTTTCTAATCCATAAACAAAGTAGTCCGAAGTAGTCAAAAAAAAAAAAAAAATTAAGACAAAGGTAAAGGATGTAAGAATAGCATGGCAGGTGATAACAAGAGATAGAAAGGCTTGATATGATTATGGGAGATTAAAGGCAGAAGAAGTAGAAACAGTTAAATCTGGACAAAACTGCTAGCAGGTTGGAAGAGCTGGGTGCTTTAGTTCAAGTGTTACTGTTGTTTTTTCAGGTTTCACTTGCAAGGGAGACAAGTCAGCATGGTAAACCCTGCCAGAGTTATCTCCACATGTGTCCTTGCAACAACAGAATCCAGTTGACACAACATTTCAAAATACAGTTGTAAAAATTGTGAACTCAGACATTTACCAAGCCAGCAGAAGTATAACTGGTTTTTGTGTGTTTTTATGTGTGTGGGGTCGCTTTCCAAGAGGTAAAAAAACTGCCTTTACATTTCTACAGTCTTCAGTAAGACAAATGTTAATGAAACAACTGATACAGTACATTGGATGCTGATATAAATTATTACTGATTTGAGAACTGACATAGCATACCCATAGATGTTGTATGTCATGCAGCAAGTGTTGGATGAGGCTGATATGGATGAATCTCTGAGAAAGAATCAGTGCTTTGAGTCAAAAGCAGCCAGTGGTGCTGTTATATACGTTATTGATAATGATGCTCCAGTTTGCCTCCAGTTTAGCAGCTTCATCAAGATTGAAGTTGTGTTTGATTCTTTTTCTCACTGCACAACAACAGTCGCTGAAGGGTGTGACACTGTAGAAGGTGCCCTCACCACAGTTAAGACAGAAGCATCTGCTGTTGCTGAGGCGGTGTTTGTAGATGCTGCAGAGGATCTGAAGAGTCCAGGCCATGATGATGTTCGTGGTAGTGATAACACACATGCAGAAGACAGCCTGGGGAGTATAGCAGAGACTTCTGAGTTGGCTGCCAAGACTCCCAGGAAGAGAAGAGTGAAAAGAGACAAATCCTTTGGGAGGCTTGACAGTGCAACATCTTTCAAAATAGTTAAAAGAAATCATATGGAGACAGTTAAGCAGAAATTGTGTTCCGGGAACACAGATGAACTTAGAGGCGGAGATGGGAAAAGTTCTGAGTGTGTTCGAGAGGGCGGTCCTGTATGTTGTAATGCTGATGGCGCCACAGATTCTGATCTTCATGACCAAGCGTTCAACAAAACACTCAGAAGTTCTAATAGACTTATGAAACTAAATATCAAGTCACATACTGGTGTCCAAGCATCAAAGGCTGCAAAAACGTTTCTCAAATCAACAAGTAGAAAAGGCACTAAAAAGTCCAAGAAACATTTAGTGAACCAGACCAGAAGTCCTGCCAAGGAATCACCTGAACATGCTGGCACACCAAGTCAAGTGAAAGAGAGGCCCAGAAAGTTATTAATGGACAAAGGTGTGAAATGCGAATACTGTGCCGGAGATTTCCACAACCAGCAGGCATTTTATGACCACAGAAGAGCACAAGAGTCCACACATAAATGTGGAATTTGTGGGAAGGTTGAGCCTTATGAAGCACACTTAATTGTTCATATGCTGAAACACAGGCGTACTAAAGAAGGGACACAGTCACACAGTCCTCTCAAGTCAAGTAACTCTAGGTCTCTACTAGCAGTAGATTGTGTCAACAAATCATTTTCTGCTAAGAAGAAAAGTAAGAAAGAGAAAATGAAATGCAGCCTTTGTGGGCTAGTGGTGTCTTCAATGGACAGCTTAAAGATCCATACATTCCTACATACTGGGGAATATGCTTACCGTTGTTGTGTCTGCGGTGAACATTTTTCATCGCTGTCTTCCCGCCAGCACCACATGGATATTCACATCTCCGCTCAGAGATTTAAATGTAATCCTTGTGGGGAGAGATTCACCTCCAGAGCAGACCTTGCCAAACACCAGCTAACCCACGAAATAAAATGTGCACTTTGTGGAGAGGTTTTCCCCAATAAAACTAGCCGTACCTGTCATTTCCGGGTCTCTCATCCCAGTGATATTCTCAAGTGTTCTCTCTGTTCAAATCTCTTTGCCACTGTGGAAGATCTGGAGAAGCATTTGACTTACCACAAGAAAGGTAAGAAGGAGCAGTGTCCTGTGTGTGGTGTTGTGGTCTCCAAACTTAAAGACCACATGTTGATGCACAGCCAGGTTGCTCAGGAGAAACTGTATGCCTGTGATCAGTGCCCTATGAGATACCTCAGAAAGTCTAATCTTGACAGACATATGCGGACTCACACTGGGGAGAAGCCATATGCATGCAACAGGTGTCCAAAAAGTTTTCGTAGCAACGGGATGTTGCGAAAGCACCTTCTGACCCACACCAAGGAGCGACCATATCAGTGTGAGGTGTGCGGGAAACAGTGCTCGCTCCGCTCTAACCTCAATATCCACATGCGTGTGCACAACAATGACCGCAGTTTTTGCTGCCCTTTCTGCCCTCAAGCATTCAACCACAAGAATTCCCTGCACGGCCACATGAAGAATAAACATGCTCAGGACATTGATCCCCAAGAGAGAAAACTAAATATCAGCATCCATTCTGCAGAAATGCCTGCTCCAAATATGTGTGCAGACATTCACAAAACTGTGTCTTTTGATCACAAAACCTTTCAACAGCTGGCTATACCAGGTGATATTTCTACAAACATTGACCCAGATTTACTGAAAATAGGTAAACTAGATGATCATCCAGACTTTGGCCTGGTGCACTCGCAGCTAAACTTTCCTATGAATAAGCCACAAGGCATTACTGCCAACATGCTCTTGCTTGGTGAAAGATATGAGATGCACTCACAAGGTAGCCATAATCACAGTTACTGACCGAGATGCACTCCCAGGGTAGCCATAATCACAGTTACTAACTGAGATGCACTCACAGGGTAGCCATAATCACAGTTACTGACTGAGATGCACTCACAGGGTAGCCATAATCACAGTTACTGACTGAGATGCGCTCACAGGGTAGCCATAATCACAGTTACTGACTGAGATGCACTCACAGGGTAGCCATAATCACAGTTACTGACTGAGATGCGCTCACGGGGTAGCCATAATCACAGTTACTGACCGAGATGCGCTCCCAGGGTAGCCATAATCACAGTTACTGACCGAGATGCGCTCCCAGGGTAGCCATAATCACAGTTACTGACTGAGATGCACTCACAGGGTAGCCATTATCACAGTTACTGACTGAGATGCGCTCCCAGGGTAGCCATAATCACAGTTACTGACTGAGATGCACTCACAAGGTAGCCATAATCACAGTTACTGACTGAGATGCGCTCACAGGCTAGCCATAATCACAGTTACTGACCGAGATGCGCTCCCAGGGTAGCCATAATCACAGTTACTGACTGAGATGCACTCACAGGGTAGCCATAATCACAGTTACTGACTGAGATGCGCTCACAGGGTAGCCATATTCACAGTTACTGACTGAGATGCGCTCACAGGGTAGCCATATTCACAGTTACTGACTGAGATGCGCTCACAGGGTAGCCATAATCACAGTTACTGACTGAGATGCACTCACAGGGTAGCTATAATCACAGTTACTGACTGAGATGCGCTCACAGGGTAGCCATAATCACAGTTACTGACTGAGATGCACTCACAGGGTAGCCATAATCACAGTTACTGACTGAGATGCACTCACAGGGTAGCTATAATCACAGTTACTGACTGAGATGCGCTCACAGGGTAGCCATAATCACAGTTACTGACTGATGTTTGTTTTGAAATACTGATAACTTTTAATATTTTAAAATGTTTGTGGTTGTGTTCTGTTTTTTTACCTGAAGAGTATCTGACTGAGATATTAGAATTGCTGGACTGATTTGGGAGATCCTAGTTTGAATCCTTGGTAATAGGATTTTCATTTATTTTTATTAAGAGGCAAACAGTGAATATCCAGCCTGCACGGTTTGCAGGACTGCACCATGGCTGAAATAGCTTGGCTAAGATTAAACACCCTACCCCTCTAAAAAATCATGTTTGTCAAGTGTAATGGTTGCAAGGGTATGCATTTTTCATATTCACCATGCTAAGATTAAACACCCTACCCCTCTAAAAAATCATGTTTGTCAAGTGTAATGGTCGCAAGGGTATGCATTTTTCATATTCACCATGCTAAGATTAAACACCCTACCCCTCTAAAAAATCATGTTTGTCAAGTGTAATGGTTGCAAGGGTATGCATTATTCATATTCACATTTTTTATATGTAAAAAGATACTGCTGAAATAATAGTTAGCATGATGAATGCAGTTGTTGTATAATTAGATACTTTGTCAGTGAGGGACATCAGCTTAACAAATCACATTATCAAAATATGAGAAGCTCTCATAACATTTGCTAGTAGCCATCTTCTTACCTTCTTATTTTGCAGTTTCATTCATCTACTTATCTCTCATTTTTCAGCAAGTAATCTATGGCAGTGCTGTCTGTCTTTCTTGTGGATCCACTTAGAGTTTACTGTTTTATACTTTCCTCCCTCTATTGTGTGTAAATGAGTTCATGTATGGTTCATACAGATTGTAGACATGATTGTTTTAGTTGAAATCTGATGTCTTACTGATAGATTCCTATTTCCTGTTTTTTGCTGTAAAGAAGATATCATTATGAAATTGCGTAATGCTGATATCTTCTAAAAGAATAGTGTTTGTCTTCCTGTGTCCAGTGAGAGAATTTTGTTTGTATATTTGTGTCCAGTTTTGGAGACGGAAGCCTGGTATACACTTGTTAAATCATTGAGTCTTAAGACTAGTAAACATATCGCTCCATCATAAATCTAGCTTTTGACTGTAAACAAACCTTGCATTTTATCAGCATTGAAGCTGGTGGCACAACACCATTAAAAAAAAAAAAAACATGAGAGCACACAGCTTTAGATAACTAGGAATATTAGGATATTAGGAATCTTTTCACAATCACCATTAAAACAGTCAGGTATTTTCAGATTATTTATTACAGATAATTCTTACAAAACTGGATCAGGAGGAGGATACATACAAGATCTGCATATTAAAGATTCTACAAGATCTGACTATTGAAGATGACTTCCCATGTGGGTTCTGCAGCCCCATTTTGGGGAAGAAAGAATAGACATGCCTTAACAAGATGTCAGAGTAAAAGACAACTAATTAAAGTTTTGCTGAAATAGGATTTGTTGGCAGAAAGATGCAGATATCACAGTCTGGATGTAAAACACAGTACACCATGCCAACCACCCTTTTAAAGATGGCCGCAGAAAAAAAAAAAAAAGATGACCGGTTCGTAAACAGCACCCTGTCTAGAAGACTGAAATACTGTAGTCCAGTTAAATGAAAAGAAGTGGCTTAGAAAGACTAGTTATGGAAAAACAGGCTGTGGTCAGTTGTAGAAACATGGGCATAGGATACTGGCGAATAACATGGATATAGTGATACATAAGGCCTGGCAAGGGAGAAAGTAGCTTTCTAGCAAGCTCTGATGAAAGCGCTGTTTTGCAGAGGACCTACTACATACAGTTGTGTCTCTTCGTAAGAGAGGCTTCAAATGAAAACCTTAAAATGGATAGAAAAACCATGCCAATGTCTTGTAACTTATCAGCATTGTTGAAAAGGATGTCAAGAGTGTTAGGCATACGATATCATTGTGCGGGCACAGCCTGAGATGTCATTATGATAGTTTAAAGATGGCTACCCCACTTTTGATACGCACCAAAGAGGAGCAGCGTTCTGTTATTCATTTTTCTACCAGTGAATCTGTGCAACCTATAGAAATGCATCGAAGAATGAAGGTCCATCATGGTGATGCATGCCTGTCAGTCCAGCAAGTGTATGAGTGGAGTAGGAAGTTTGAACACTGCGTGAATTCTGTGACAGACTGTTCGCGATCGGGTCTTGCGTGCTGATTATTGACCTCAGAGTTGATTGCAGCCATTTTTAAACTTCTTACTTCAACAACTTCTATTACACTTTTAAGGTTTTTATTTGAATCAACCTTGTATTTCACATTTATATGTAAAATTTCATTGAAGGGCTGCAGTGAATCTCCACCAACTCCTGTATCTGTATGGTGACACCCATAAACACACTTCAAGTTTTTGTCTTAAAGTTATCCGCCAAAATGTAGTGGCTGCCTTCCTTTCTCTTGTTACCCCCTCTCCCCCTTCCCCCTCCCCACCCTTTTTCCACCTTACCCGACTCTCTTTATGCAGCTTGATCTCATTTAGAACATTTTCTTGAATCTCAGTTTTTGTAGTGCCTCTACATTTCTTATCCTCTTTCATGATACATTTGCTGTTTGTTTAGGTCACTACATTTCAAAGGCTTGGCTTGAGTATTACTGTTACATTGTGTTATGAGTTTGTGGCACTCTGGGATATGTCCACAAGTACTCAGATTTCCACCTTCCCAGACATATACATCATCATCCTGTGGTTAACAGTGGCAGTGCATCACTGTCCTGTGGTTAACAGTGGCAGTGCATCACTGTCCTGCGGTTAACAGTGGCAGTGCATCACTGTCCTGCGGTTAACAGTGGCAGTGCATCACTGTCCTGTGGTTAACAGTGGCAGTGCATCACTGTCCTGCGGTTAACAGTGGCAGTGCATCACTGTCCTGTGGTTAACAGTGGCAGTGCATCACTGTCCTGTGGTTAACAGTGGCAGTGCATCACTGTCCTGTGGTTAACAGTGGCAGTGCATCACTGTCCTGTGGTTAACAGTGGCAGTCCTATGCTGGTTGACAGTACTTCTTGTATGTCCATCTGGGGTGATTGTATTTTTAGCAGTGGTGTGGATGCATTACACCCCGCCACCCCACCTTTTTTTAAAAAGTAATCATTCTCTCTCTATTCGTATTTATAATGTCAGCACGATCCAGCCACTGATCATCTGCAACTACGGCAGAGCCAAACTGTTTATCAGGTCTTTAGTTGTTTACAAAACCTGCTTGGACTGGGACAAAGATTGAAATAGTCCCACACAAAGTGGACCTTACTGTAACATTGTTTATTCATTGTTCCTGTCCGCTTCATACTAGTGAAGAGTAAATTTAACACTTCATTTTATTTGTAAGTAGCGATTTTGATGTGAACAAAGTGTATTTTTTATATTAAATATTGAAGCTCTTGATGGTCAGTTTTTGTTGTCTGTATTATTTTATATGGGTTATTATTGTAAAGATTCTGTACTGAATATACTGATTCTTGAATATCCTAGTGTTTCAGCTAGTTTGGAGAACAAAAACAAAAAAACTCTGTATGTCTTATATTTTTCCGTTAATGAATGCTGATCTTTTCTCTGTTTTTGAATATATATTTACTTCTGTCTGTCTGTCTGTCTCTCTCTTTGTCTCTGTCTATCTGTCTGTCTGTCTCTTCCTTTCTCTCTCTCTCTCTCTTCCTTTCTCTATGTCTATGTGTATATACAACATAGTTTGAGGGAAAGCCAACTTGAAAGCTTAGTTGAAGCTGGAGAACTTGCTGATATGTCATAATTGGGACTGACATGCAGACCTGGTCATGCAGACCTGGTCCAAGACTGTTTGACCATGTGGGATGACCGTGGCGCCTACGACATGACACATGATATGATACACACTAAACAGCCAGGGATTGATGCACATCTGTTGCACATACCATGCCTGTCTGCATCTCTCCACACCAGTAGCACATCTGGCCTTTAATGCTAGACTCATGTTTTATAGACCCATCGACCCTCTTTGATTGATTTAGTCAATGTCATGCCCACTGCCTTTACTTCCCAGGACTTTACCTAGTACCCATTTTAGGCTGAGGTCGACCTTGGAGCTAAGGTCATTTTTGAAGGGGGACAAA